GAATGCAGATGTGAAATGGTATTTTTCCTTGGCCTGTTTGCGAGTGATGCTAAAGTCTGTCTTTTCATTTTCTTGAATAGGAGTGATTACTTAGGAGCCTTGTTGCGATGAAAGGAAAGGAAGGAGGTTTGAAAGGAAGTTTCCCCCTAGGTTAGATAAGGGGGAAACATGTCAAGATTCTCACGTCCTAGTGTGAATAGAAAACAATTGTCATCTCTGTCCTTTGATGAACTAAAGTGTTTCTCTTGGGAAATGTTAATGTGTGGGGAGTCCCCTTTTTTATGCAGGGGTTGGGATGCTGCAGCCTCAGATCTACACTGAGAGCTGCATTCAGCTGGTCATTTTGTTCTCCTCTGCAGAGTAAAATAAAACCTTTTCTTCCTTGGATATTACCTCTCAGTGCTCATTAATTTTTTACTCCACACAGACAAAACAGAAGTTATATTCTTTGGACTCGAGTCTTTGAAAAATAAGCTGATTAGTCAGTCACTTCATTTGGATGAGATTAAACTGATTTCAGATAATAAAGTAAAAAATCTTGGTGTTGTTCTTTCTGTGAAATGTCCTCCAGCATGGAGGTTTGCTTCATTTCCACCTAGAAACAGTTTTCAAATAATCATGGGGCGTGAGACCAAACCTGCTCTGAAGGTTTGATCCTTCAGGCAGAAGAAATAGACGAGGCAGTGGCACTCAGATTGGTTATATTATTCAGCCTTAATATATTTCAGAAAAATCAGATACAAAAGGTGATGAAATGTAAAATATTCCACTCTGATGGACGTTCTCACAGCGAGCTGCGCAGGAAACGCTGCGTCAATAAAACCTTCGGGAATTTACTCCACATTCATGATTTCATTGGTGGATCCAGATGTTTCTGTTAGGAGGGAAGGTTAGGATCCAAACACCACCCAGAAAAACAGATGTTCCTACAGGAGCCTGATCCTCCAGAACCAGAACACATCAGCAGGAGGAAACAGGTAGGATCATCATTTCCCGCCATGGTTCAGGTCCGCTGGCCTCGGCCTCCTGAGGCTAAGGAGAGCTTGGATACTTCAGGCAAAACCGGTCGAATGCATCATAGATGGACTTCCTGTTGGAACAACCAGACATCAACAAAGGTTTCAACAAAAACTCCATCATCAATGAAAATATGAAAGAGGCACTAAGAGTTAGCCGTGAGGGGACGTCGCTCCCTCCACGTCAGACATGAGGGGACGTCAGTCCCTCCACGTCAGACGTGAGGGGACGTCGCTCCCTCCACGTCAGACGTGAGGGGACGTCGCTCCCTCCATGTGTGCTTTATGAGCAGCGGCACTAATCCGTGTTTCCCGTTGGGGAACTTCTCAAACCCAAATTGAACGAGGAGGCGAAGGCTTTGGCCTCTAGAAGGAAACATGGAGGCAAGTTTTACCTGAAGAAGTTCTGTTTGAACAGGTAGGCACTGATGTGTCCTCCATTCAGGTAACGGACTTCACATCCGGGCCAGATCTCCTGCAGACTGAGGACTCCTGTCCGAGGGATGTAGGCGTCCTCTCTGGCCTGGATCACGATGATCAGACTGGTGTCTACTGGGACTGGAAGAGATCAGAGGACAACTCTTAACTGGGACCCAGTGGGAGGAGCCGGCGGCTCGGAACGGCACCGCAACCTCCAACTGGGAAATGTTTGCAGCTCTATTTCTGAAATGTCTGGATGAAAACCTGTGGTCTGATCTTCAGCATCGATTCTATGGCAGAAAGTTTAGACCATAAACTGGAAACTAAGTGATTGATCAGTTTTTCCACTGGGATGGTGAATGGGTTCTTTCTGACACCGTTTGTGAGCCTCTGTTTTCTTTGAAAGCTTCTCTATAAATAAATCTTTACTTCAGGTCAGAGTAAATGTTAACCAGCGGTGGAAGCTCTTGCTTGTTTTCTCTGGGAGTGAAGGATGTGCTGAACATTGCTGAACATTCTGGGCTAATAATTATAAGATAATTATAATTAGAGGCGACTCAGAAGCAGATCCACCAGTTAAGGCTGAACTTTGTGTATCTCATAATCAACCTGTATCTAAGAGTTGACAGAAGGAGAAACCGTCAAACTGCTCGACTCCTGGAGCTTTTCAAGCTTAACATCACATTCCAGACACATGGCAGGGAAGAGGTTCGTCCTCTGGAGAAAAACCTACCAGAGAAGTTGGCCATGTGCGTGCACTCATCCATCACTCCCTTCATGAAGCTGATGGACTCGGTCTGCAGTGATGGTCGACAGCAGTTGGCAGAGTTCATGTTCCTCCCACGGCCCACGCTGGGAGCACTCGGGGGTCTAACGGGTAACAAAGACAGATTTGCTTTACAGGCCAGGTGCTAAAGCTTTGGAGGGGAAGAAAACAGTTGAAATCAAACACCAGAGATCAGTTTACTGAGAAGCAGTTACTGGGCAGTGGGCAGTCCGCATGTTGGATTTTAAATTTCATAAAGATTTATGGGGGTTTGGTCTCCTTTATATAGATAACTAAATCCTAGAAGTCAGAGAAAAAAAATAAAATGCTGCTTTTGAATATACCTTTCTCAGCAGCTTAGAGGAACCAACCAAATAAAGGTTTCAAAGACTGATTACCTTGGTGGAGTGTTTGTTCCACTGCCTTGCTTCTCGGTGGTGCCACTTGTAGCGCACTGCATGTCCACGTTAAAGCGCCGACCCGCTGATACCTGGAGACCTCCAGGAAGGTCAAGCAGATCCCCTAACGAGTCCAACCTCCTCTGCACTTCTGTTCCCATTTTATATGAATCCACCTGATTGTTTGGAACACAAAGAGGAGTCCGCATGAACTTATCTGTTCCCATGGCTCTGATAAAAACTGCAATGCACCTTCAGTCCACAAGGTGGGGCTAATCATCCACCACCTTTAACAAACAACATTTTCTTTTGTCACAACTGACCAATAACATACAGACCATGAGCAGCTTTTTAGTTTGCATGAATCCATAAACAGGAAAAGTTTGATTTGTTTTTTTAATCAACCTGCAGAACAAACATTGTTTTATCAGATAGAATTATTACATATTTCTGCACCACCAAATATTTATCGGAATAAAGACAAAAAACAAAAAAAAAAAAAGATAATCAGCCAGCAAGTACAGATGTTTGATGGTAAACCACAATATTTCTAAAATATAAAAAAAAAGGTTAGGGGTTTGGGGCGGTTGTTTAAGGGGGCCACCGTTTTTTTTTCTTCCTTCAGGCCTTCATTGTTCGTTTTTTTGCGGTTGGGGATTTGTTTTTACCGTTCCCTTTTGCCTTCCCATTCGGGGTTGGCTTTTTTGGGACGTTGCCCCGGTTATTTCAGTCCTTCTCATCTTCTGGCACGCAGGTTTGTTGTGAGCGTTTTTTTTCCACAGACATGAGAGTTTTGCTGTATTACCGCTTCCTCCGTCAGCCTGCTGCTAGTAGCCCCATGATCATTTGTGTTCGGGGCTGCGGGCGTGCTCGCCCTCCAGGGGCTGTGCAAGTGACGATTGTTGTGCCTACAGATCTCATCTGGTGTTTGGTAAGTCTGTTTTCTT